GGAGAGCAATGGTATAGGTTATTGATGAAAGGGAGCGTATCGAGGAGAAAACCTGCTGATTTAATGTGCAATCAGTTAGATAAATTCCAACTGAATTGAAAAAGGCCACGTGAGGAAATACGGGTGCATCAAGAATTCTTTTACAGCAAATACTCAATCTCTGATGCAGATAACAAGACCATCAGCGTGTGGCCAAGCGTAGTTTGAACCCAGCTCTGGTGCACAGGCGCATACACACCTAGTCTCCCTCAGATATGTGCACGCGCGTGTGCATTTGTGCGTTGACTCGAACGTAGAAAGCAGTGAGATGATTTGGGGACAGCCTAGTTGACGTGATTGGTACAGTCAATCAACACTGGGCCAGAGCTTGGTTCAACCCATAAAGAACTCTACACTAATGATCAGTTATCTTTAACTACTGGCTGTCTAAAGCAATGGAACTGAGAATTCGAATTGGGCCGTTTGATAATCCAACTATTGTGTGTACGAGAATTCTTGATGCACCTGTATATAATCAGGATCATAATGCTGTTTACTTTGCCCAATTTGTTTCGAGTTCTTTCTGTCGTTTATTATTAGGTAGTGGTGGTATTTCCATATTTCTTATGTGCATTGTGTGGCGTATAATGACAAATCGATTGTCAGATATCTATTCGTTGTTTTTCGTTTCGTTTTGTTACTTACGCGTAGTAGTATGTTTTCCGTATGGTCGAGGGCGGGTGTTTGGGGTTGCGGCTGCTCACCCTTCCCTTGCACCTCGTAAAATGATCCCATACGACCAAGCGTCTCAAATGGCCTCTGCTGAGGAAGCCCTACTCACTGGCTTCTCGTGGCGAAGGTGTTTCCCCACCAAAGTGAGAGGACAAAAAGCCGACATCCGGGGCTATAACAGGGTTGGTGGACCACTGGTAGTTACGAAACCAATCAAAGTATGAATTAATTAATTAATTAAGTATTCTGCTTGTCCGCTACGCTCATCCAAGGCAATGGTATATATTATAAAATCGAAATACCTGTTATTGAATCAATTGAAATTGGTCTCATTTTAGCTTGTTTGCCGAGCTCGATGTTTCATCACCAGCCGATGTGACATCTTCAGTGCTTGTGAAAAGATCCCGTTCTCCTTGTGCCCGCTTGTTTACGTACGTTCTTCTTCAGCGACTACTTTTGTTTTGAAGAAAATATTTTTAAACGAACGGGTACAAACAGAACGCTGCCACTTCACAAGAACCGAGGATGTCACCTCGGTTGCTGATGAAACACTTGCACGCAAATTGTCAAGCTCAGCGAACGGGCGAAACGGAGTTCAGTTCACCCCTGAGCCACGAGAAACAATTCGCAATATCTTTGTTAGCTGAAACTGATTTAACAGTGGTACGACTATACAACTCCTAGCGCGCTCGATTTGAGACGAATAGGGGTACACTTTATCAATTCACCTGACGATTAGTTAGCAAGGAAATTATTCGCCCGAATGCGTTGATGATAGAAATTTTAAATCAGGGATTAGGAATATTTGATTGTTTAAAAGGATAGAACTGTGAGAGAACCATCTATGGCAATTACATTCGTGATGTGCTTTGTGATTATCAGGGGACTGATTCTTTTTTAATGGTTACTGGATGCACTGAACGATATATCATGAGGAAAGCTATTCTAAAGCATTTAAATTTAAATAAAAAAATCGATTTTTGTTCGATGAGAGTGTCATCCTGGCTTCGAAATCGTGAGCCAAATGATCATGGCACGATAAAAATTTAAGAAATTTAGGAAACGTTTTCGGGAATTGTTATCTTGTAAAGACGGAATCGGTGACCATTGTGTGATGCATCTTCGAGTGGTTCGCCAACATGATAAATGTGTTCCCAGGGTCCATAACTGAAAGAACGAACGATCGATTAGGATTTTACTTCAAAGTTAATCTTCTACTATATTACCCAATTAGTTCTAGTTCTGTCGTTCTCCCGGTGCAACAGTTTGGACGAAATTAATGTGAACGTAGTCAGACATTCTTGGTCAATAATCGAAATTGCAAGAAACTTCTCATTCAAATCACATTTATCACAGAGCACGTTTTATTATTCCCGGTGATTTGATTTCACTGATCCTAAACATGTGTAGTTAGTTGAGCTAGCAACAATCACAAATAAATGTGACTTTTTCGGTTCTTTCTTCTTTAGTCAGACTGAATCTTTCGTTCAACAAAGCTAATCTGCATGAATCTGCGTCTCTTGACATCCGGATGTAACTAATAACTAAGCCTCATTTCTACATTCCACCCAGACAGTCTTTCTATTCCCCTCCCTCAACATAGGTCCAATTCCTGTCCACCTTAAATTTAACCGCTAACCTTGTATGCATTGCGAGTTTGGCAGCGATCAGCGAAGTTTGCTGTATGATGATGATAATGATAATGATGATCCCTTTCTATGACCGTGGTCCCCGTCCCGTACGTTGAGTATACATTTTTATGCCCAATAAATAGTAAGGAAACAAAAGCCAACGTTATATTCTGTACTAATCGAACCTGGTGAATTTGTATTTCCGATGAAGGTAGTTATGTAAGATTCCATAAATGGAACAAGCACACTGTTTCGATTCTGCGAACCGAGTGAGTTTCCCATGCCCACTAAGATTATTTTTTCTGTGGTTTGTTCGTTGATGGGGTGGTATTTACAGTAGACGACCATTGTAATACATTCCAGGCTTTTCTTGCACAAATTGGCTTCATCAGTCTGTTTAAAGCGTACGCATAGCTGAATCGTTTTCATGATGCCTGTTTATTGTTTGAACATGTATGTGACTTGGTTCGCCAAGTTGAAATTATTCGATTGTGAAATTCGGGGACCTGACAGAATTCGGGTGAAATTATTTGATAAGGAATCTTCAGAAACAATCACTTGAATTTCCTGAGAGAAATCCTTTTTTAAACTTTTATGTTACTCTGAATTGTGCCTTTCGTGATTAGAAGATTTCACGAAAAAAGTCATTACTCTTATTCTTACAAAGGGTAATTTTCATTGGCACTTTTGAATAGACCTTTACAAATCTTGGATGAAGAAACTGGAATGTTTATGATCAAATTATCCTGGTTATCGCAAACATTTCCATCGCATTTGATTGCATTTACCTCGTGGGGAACTAACTATCTCCCAAAGAGTGAAACCCCACACCCAAGGTCATCAAGAGTGCCTTGTGCCTCTGAACGGCCAAATGGGCTAATCCAAGCTTGACACTCTGAATTGATTGAGCCATTCGCACAAGATGATGATCATCAACCATGTAGTTCAGGGATAAGGGTTTGAAGTCCAAACCGGAATGTTCGCGGTTTGAGTCCTGACAGGGAAACAAATGGTACGCACTGATGACGAGTCCCAAACCGGACGGAACAACTGCCCAGTACTCTTTGTTATTCATCACAAACATTTCCATCGCATTTGAATAAAACTTATCTATACTTCAAAATCAGTGAGACATTTGCTTGATATATTTCCCAATTACACATGAAGTGATTGTGGTGATCCGGGTCTACAAGATGTCGCCTACCCTGGAGCGGCGCGTTACAGGTTTTGGACAAACCTCACGGGTGACGTCAAAAACCGGCGTACGTGTCACTGCTTCTGACTTCATACCATAGGCAGTTCGTAGCAGCCAATCTGAGATCGTGTGACCCAGATAGAAGCAGAATGATGCCAGCAATACTGGAAGGCGATTGATAGAAGCCCGGATAACCAATGAGCCTACTTTGTACATATTATTTAATCCCCTTGTTTCATTTCTCCCGTTCGTCGNCAAATTTGTTTACAAACGTTTCAGCACCAGCCGAGGTGACATCATCAGTACCTGTGAAGTGCCCTTGTTTCTTTTAATAAACAAAATTCCATTCTTGTAGCCTTTTATCCTGGCGTCTCAGTCACGTTGGGTATTGCGTGCTATTGCCAGTGCGGTCCAGTGCTTACGTGATCCAATTCGTGGTAGCTGATCCCTAATTCGTGTTCGGTGATTCGTCTGCGTGGTTCTTTTTCCGAGTCCCGTGCGTATTGCTAATATTATTACAATCATTAAACCAAAACCTATGGTTTAAACATATCATGATGAAGGACATTTAGGAAAGAATCAGGTTTTTGATCGATCTTTGAAAGAGAAAAACATGGCAGATCGTTAAAAATTCAGAAGGAGGACAGGCTTTTCATAGTTTTACAGGAGCAACTCTGGCCATTTTGGTTGTAAATCAGATATAAGTCAGTAGTTTCCCGTGCTTGAGGTGGGAGGGGGGGGCAATGCACGCGAACATGGAAACCGCTGC